GCCCTCCTTGTCTTGCAGTCCTCTGACTGAGGCCATTTCAGTGCTCATTATTTACTGATGAAGAAGTCTCTTCATTAAGGCCCTGCCTGTGGCCTGTGGAGCGAAGGCTTTTTTTAATGTTCCTTCTCGACTAACTCTTTACATAAGCAAGCAGCAGTTGCCCTCAAGTGTATTTGGTTAAAAGGGAAAAACATTAATGGCCATTTGGGGGCTTTTATTTCATTACAGAAGGAAATGCTCCCCTGTTTCAATTTAAGTAATGGTTTCAAGGCAAGCAGGTTAAAAGGTCAACTTTTGTTCTCATTGGGATATCTTTTCACAAGCTTCCTGTATAGATTTGCAAAGTTTTGAGAGAAGAAAAGCATCAGAGAGTTTTCAAATACCTCTAAATTACCACCACACTACAAGGACACCCCTTCAGCACACTGTGTATTCCATAATCAAAACCAGCTGTCAAGTAAATCATTTGTATTGCCCCTCTGCACTTTAATTTACTTTAAACAACCCACTAAAGAAGAAACTTTTTTTTTTTCTCCAGAAAATTGCATAATGAAAGTTGAGCAGCGAGAGAGCTTCAGAGACAAACATCTTCATTTCACTCTCAGCACTCATGCAAAGCCACAGTATTTTTTATTATTCACTAGGGTTTATGAGTTTGAGCACTTAAAGCAATAGGTCATGGGGGTTCAGGGAACATGGATATGAAGGCTGTAAAAAAAACATACTTATTGATTTGTTATCCTTTCTTCAGTGACGATGATGGCGAGAACAGCTGTCTGTTTGCGACAATTAGACAGTCCTAAGGTCACAAATTGTTTAAATGACCTTTGTATCTACTCAAACATTGTCCAAAAGAAAAAAAGAAGAAGAAAAACATCTATGTTGTAGCCTGTCCCCTCTATTCACTCAGAGATACAAGGAAGAACCCTGCCTTGGCATCTTGTTTTCTTGTACTCTTGTGGAACATTTAAAGATATTATCAGCCACAGTTTAGTTTCGGTTGATCAGTTAGTTGGTTCTTTAGTCGTCGTTTAGTCTCGGCAGTCACTGAATGAATTTCCATGACATTTTGTACAGACATTGATGGTCCCTAGGATTAAGTCTAGTGACTATGATGAACCCTTGACATTTTTCTCTAGGACAAATATGAGGTTGCATTTGTGCCTTTAAATGAGCACTGGATGAATTTGTATGAAATGTGGTACACGTGTTCATATACCCTCTGCATGATTTGTAATATCTTCATTTTGGTGACATTTCTTCATACGTATTTATCAGGGCACATTCTTAAGCACTTTAATACTTTGTCCATCTTCACATACAGTTTATGTTGTTTGGTCATAAACTCAACCATCCGTGATGCCACCCAAAGATTTGCCTAACTCTTGACTGAAATGAGCAAAAAGATACAGCTTGAGCTACAGCTCTGTGGGCCAAGGACTGTTCTATGATTACACCTATCCACTTTGAATTATGCCTAACTTTAAGCCTTAATAAAAGTTAAATGGGTGAGTTGTATAAATATAAAAAAAAGTCTCCCCCTGTACAGTTGTCAAGTTCGCCATAAAGACCAAAGCAGTTATGTGTACCAGGCAGGTAACATGTTTGTGTCTGCTGTTAAGTTAGCCATTATAACATGGGGGTCTATGGGGATTTGAAGCCAGTGGACATGCAAGGAACTACAGTTTTTATAGTATCTGCAAAATGAACAACATTCATGTCAGCCTCAGCTGTGCCTTGTGTATAGTGCGTGTCAGTGAGCACCATGCTAACATGCTAAACTGTGATGGTGAACTTGATAAACATTCTTGAAAGCTGTCATTAGCATTTCCATGAAATTATTGTTCAGGCTAAAATCAGCCCACAAAGCCAACAGCATGACTGTAGACTTTTTTCTTTTTTTTTTACATAACACTTAATATGTGGGAAAAGATGCCTGTGATCAGCCGTGGATAACAGTATGTGAAGCATGTTTGTTACCTTTCAGTTTTACATAAAAGTACGGTTGTAAAATAGTCGTAGGAAACTTTGATATTTAGTTATCCTTAACGAAACAAGACAAAACAACTATTTTTATCTATGTAGTACAGCTTTCTTGCACAGCACATTAATTTAGAATGGCAATAGCTAAAAGTTAAAGGGTCTGCCTTTAGTTTTGGTTTGTTTGTCTCACTGATACAATATGACTTGTGACAGCTCTTCGCTGTCTTCTGGGACATGAGGAGTCTGAATCATTCCACAAAAAGGCTCTCCCTTCAACGGCGCCCTTGGTCTGACCGAATCGAGGGATGGTCCACTGCAGCCCATGCAGAGCTGTCCCATGTTCCTCTTTTGGCCCTCTCACCTTCCTGTTGGTTCTCATCCATCTGTTTACTCTCTCCCAGTCCAAAGGAGGCATCCATTAAATCACCTTTAAAGATGAGAACGGGACTTGACAGCTACAAACTGGAGCAAAACAATCTTTTTCCAAACCCCACGCCCACCCCAGCCCCACGTCTCCATGCCTGTTCCTATCTGTCCCATATCGTCAGCGGCAGAAGCCGCAAGCGCTGCTGTGAGACAGAGAGCAGTTCTTGTTTACTGATGCACACTATATTGATGTGAGCTGATTCCATCAGGCAACACTTTTGGATGCCACACACCCTGTTGTCTTTCTCTGCCTCCCTTCTACTTATTATGTCTTTACCCCCTAATGTATCTGCTGCGACAAGGCAGACTGCGTGACAGTGAGCAGAGCTTCAGCCCTTGCTGTGACTTGTATCAGCATGTGTTGCAGTGTGTTGCATTGTAGATTCAAGAACTGCTCATTAAAGAGCCTTTTATGTGCATGCCATATCCATGCTGCCTGTGCCTCTGACATTTGTCATACACTTGAGGCAGCCACTAATTTTTATTGATTTTATTGATTTTGATTAATTCATTAGTTTTTTTTCTTTAATTAAGCAAAATGGCCAAAATCATTAGATTACATGCAGAGAAATTACTTCCACTCCACTTACAGAGAATATGTTCAGTGAAGGAATTTATTTTTCCGCCCACTCAGGCCTATATTTTTCAAACCAGTGGTCAGTTTGGTTTTGTTATCAGCAGACCAAAGCGTGTTTAATTAGTTAATAAGCCTGATCAAGTTAGAGGCTGTTTTGCTGCAAACTGGTTGCGCTGTGCCTCTGTCCATCATGTATGGTGGTTAGATTTCCTCTCACCACAGCGGGCAGCGATTATAACAAATGGATGAGTTCAAACCATCTGTAAGACATTTGATTAACGCTGCCGAGCCTCTGTCGGGAGAGAGAGTCCAGAATGGTACTTGATGTGGAATTGCACTAATGATAGTGCCTGGGAAGTAGCCATGCTCTAGGAAAAACATCACAGAATCAGAAATTAGAACCTCAGAGAGACAGATGAGGGTTGTAGTGAGCAGCTCCGGGTGGCCTCTGCATCCATCTCACACATGATTTGATTGGTGCTCCCAGTCATCAGCTCAGCCTCATAGTGCAGCTGTTGAAGCTAATGTGGCATGAAACAAAACAGATGTTTCTTCTGGTGTCTTTCCTCTTTTGCTTTTTTATCTCCTTCGGTATTTTGGGACTTGCACACTTGTTGTGTACACTCAGAAATGTACAATCCCCAGGGTACTGCTTTTTTTCTGAATTTCAGTGCTGTCATAAAATCTGTTAAGGTTTAGCTTTTCAGCAATTAATATTACAAAACTTAAAAATAACTCTTTTTTTTTTCTTTTTTTTTTTAGATAGGTGCAGTATACCTTAATTTTCTATTAAGCTAAATTACTGCTTGATCACGTACACAACCAGCATAGTGGAAGCATCGTGTTAGCATAGCAACACTGGCAGTTTCAGTCCTCCATTTGTGTCTACATGTGATGTTATTCAGATACTGTAGAGTCTACGTCACCTTCATTTTGCAATCCTAATCACAACAGTAAAGCACTTATAAAAGGAAGAACATATGCTTTAACCTTAAAAGACGACTTGGCCTACATGAATGTCACATGAATAAATTGCAAATGTTATGCAGCCTTTGTAAACAGCTGTATTGATTCAGTTAATGATGGCGTGCTCAAAATGGCCGTGAATAGATACGTATGTCAGCAGGTATGTTCACCATCTTACTTAAACATGTTAGTACGCTAACGTTTAACAATTGGCACCAAATATGAAGCATGGCCACAGATGAGAATTAGACCAGTCACAATTCTGACCAAATTTGATGCCAATGCGTGTAACAGTTGTCATGAAAATGTAATAAAAAAAAAAAAAAATAAAGTCAGGAGATCTTGACATGTGAATTTCATGGCATCCATTTGTTGAGATGTTTTAGTCGAAAAAAGAAACGCAAAATAAGAGATTTCCGAAGACTTTTACAAAGGCAAGTTTATGTTTTCATGTATATTTTGCAGTCCGCCTAAGTCTGGGAAAGTGTGCGTTTACCCCTCAGCTGACTTCCGAGTGCAGCCTGAAAATTGTGATTCCACGGACTGTCTGCACTGCAAAGGGACTGTCCGCACATGATCCGGAAAAAACAAATAGTGCTTTAAGCAAATGCTGGCTTTTAGGAGAGCGTTTACAAGGAGATTCTTTGTCGTCCACACCTTTTGAAGTCGACCCTGCCCAATTTCAGATATTTCAATTTCATAGTTCTTATTTCTCCAGAAACGGGCTATGTCCACTCACTGTGTTGGCACGCCTCAGGAATAATCACATTGAAACGGTGTTATGGCCCAACCTGTAACCAGCTATTGTATCCTAGAAAAAGTGCAAAGTCACAGCCAACCTTTTGGAAACATTAACAGAAGCCCTGTATGCTTTGCTGTGTTCAACATCAGGGTCGCTGTGAGCATCTGTACTGCAAACCAGCATGTAGCTATTGTATTCAGTACAGAATCGTGTGAGTGCCCGCTGTCCACTTTCAATGTCTGCAAAACCCATGAGAGTTTGATGATATGCTTGATGACATTGCCATTCTGTCTTTCTCTTGCATAGGACACAGCGCTGGACCCTGGAGAGGATGTGGCCCTTCTCTCAGTGAGCTTTGAGGATGCTGAAGCTACCCAAGTCTTTCCGAAGTTGTACCTTTCCCCCAGCATTGAACAGTAAGTACATTCATCGGTCTGTCATCTATCAGTTAACGGTAAAACGTATGTTCTGATGCAGATAGCACTAGTCAGTAATGTTAAAGGTTTTTTGGGGGGCCTCAAGAAACCCCTAATTACACACAACATGATTCACCTGGATCACCAAATTTTAGTTTGATTGTCAGCTTGTTTTTCTAAGAACTTTGATTTCATCGTGGTGTTACGAAAGTTGCATACTCGTTCACGTGAAGCAGGTTTGCCATTGATGTGAGCTGTCATTATTTCAGAGAAAGTCATAGACCACAGTCTTTCCACGCTACAGTTACATCTCTCATGTGCAAATTATGTTTTAGGTTTACTTTCCTTTAAAACAGACACACTTCTCTTAGGGCAGAGACCTTATTAAAAAAAAAATTTTAAAGTCTAAAAGTATGTTGCTGACTTATGGAGAGACCTTGAAAATCACAAGGAGGTTCAGCCAAAGGTGGCCCACTCTGCGCTGTTTTTGATTTCGAGGATGCGAGATGTAGTTGCTGGATTAGTGTGAGTGTGCTGTGAATCTAGCGACATATTATGTCACTGTGAATAATCCTGCATCCCAGTGTCTGGACTCATCAGTCGGTTTCTCAAAAACAATAAGGGAAGAACAAAAAATGAGATGGATGACACACAGCGTCTGAGCTACGGATGACTGGATGTCTGCAGACATCTGGGGTGTTAACTGTGTGTGTGTGTCTGTGTGCATGTGTGTGTGTGTGTGTGTGTGTGTGTGTTTGGGATTGTGTGGAATGTTTTCTGGGCACTGTGTGGGTACTGCAGCAATGTGCACATTCCCTTTGTTTAAATCTTTTTTCTTCTTTTTTTTTTTGTCTTGCTAGATTTAGTGTGTATGAATGTGTTTGTGTGCATTTGTCAGTTTATATTTAGGTTTGTGTGTGTGTGTGTGAACGTGCAGATTGGTGTGTGTGTGTTTGGATGCATGCATGTAGATTGTGATGCTCCCAATGTATGTGTCTGTTGTCATGTGTTTGTGTGCATGCACCGGTATTTGAATTGGCTTCGCTCTCAACACAAAGTCTCTGTAGGTGTGGACGTAGATGTGTGTGTGTGTGTGTGTGTGTGTGCGCGTGTGTGTGTGTGTGTGTGTGTGTTTGTATGAGAGCGAGCCAGGTATGGGCCCACTCTGACCTCAGGGCCCCACAGTCTGGGCTTCCGTGCTCGGAATAATCTCAGGCTGATGTTTATTTACAAGCACACGCCCCGTCGCACCAGGTTAGGAGACCTCTGCTCTCCCCCCACCACCACCACCACTCTTTCTCGCTCTCTCTCTCTTTCTTTTTTTTTTTTCCTCTCTCTCTCATCCTCCTGTCTCAACATGTTCTTTTTTTTTTCCACCCTCATCTCCCATGTTCCTCTGTGGCTCATCTGTTTTGTCTTTCTCTTCAGTTTCTTTTATTTCGCTATTATCCAATCTTTCCCCTCCCTGCTTTGTCTTCTTTCGCCATCTCTTTCTCTTTACAGGCTGCTGTACATTCTCCTTCTCTCTCTTCTCTCCCAGTTTACAGCTCAATCACTAAAGCAGACACATGCACACACACACACAGACCCTCCTCCTCCTCTTCAGTGTGTTGAAATAGGCAACCAAATATCCTAATTACACCACACAAAACAAAGGTCAACAACCTACCGCCTGTCCTACATAACCCTCATTTATTCCATGCTGTTCATGTGCAAGAGTATATTAAAGCAATAGCATGCGAGAGAGTACGATATCTCCTTGGGAAGCAATCATTCTGCCAACCTTGATGTAGAACAATGTTCAGAACATTTCAGAAATGTTTTTTTACAAGCATGTTAAGCACTGAATACAAAGCTTCGGCCTGTTTTAACAAGCAAAGAGGTGTTTTGATTGACACTTTCCTGTATAGAAAAACCACTTGATTGAAGAGGTTTTCATGAAGCAGGCTGTTATGGTGTTGAAATTATAGAACACTTCAGGGTGTACATATGTATGCGTTCGTTGCATATGTCGGCCTGTTTTGTGACGAAGCCATGTGTGCATGTGAGAAATCCTGACCTTACCACTGCTCCAGACCAGACTGAAGCTGTTGCAGTGGTGTTAGAGGCTCTCCTCCTCTGCCAGTTGCATGAGGAGAACAGACAGAAGGAGGCTAAAGGCAGTAGAGTGGAGAACAGAAAGTGGGGAGCTACAGCGCTGGGGATGGAGAGGGTTGGTTGCCGGCGGAGCAGCGGGGGGTTAGAGAAAGAAGGGAGGAGAGGCTATGAAACAAACCCTCCTCGTGTAAACCCTCCAAGAAACATTTCAAAATGCAGAGGCTTAACAGCGCCACACTAAGCCAAGCTCTCATTTACCACCACTCGTCTCCTGCTTAATGTTGCCTCTTTGTCTTGAGATATTTGCACATATGCATATCAAGGCCATCCATGAATATGCTCGGCTACATGTTTTTGTGCACCTTTTTGTCAGCTGTGTGGGAGTGTGTTAATTCATGACCCAGGGCGAAAATGTATGTCTTCTTCACCGTTGTTTGAAGACAACCGACTGCATGCGTGTGCGAGTTTGTGCATGAGTGCATGTGCGTCGTACTCATTGTGGATGCTACTTAATTTAGCATGCAGATGTGTGTGAGCCAGCCTTTCGCTGTAAGTGTGTTTATGCAGATCTGTTACCCTGTTAGTTTTCCTCCATGTCCTCACTGACCCTCGTTAGTCTTTGGACTTGTGTAGAAGCCTATTATCTCGGCGTTGGCTCCACTGAAGAGAAAAACTCATTTGTTGCAATGTGCCTGCACATTACAGTGTGTTTTTTCGAGCAAGCGGTTGATGGACAGCAACATTCAAGAGGTTCTGCATTAATCCAAGCAGCCACAAATGCTCACAATATCTTGTAATGCCAAGATAAAATTCACATCAACACAGATTTGGAAAATTGTATAAATCAGTCCTAATTTTATCAGATGTAGCAGCTGACATCTACAGAAAGTGGCTCAGCTTTGGTTTTGGCACTGCTGGATTTCAGTGTTGGTACAGGGTGTCATATCAACTACATATATTCAGTGTCAAAATGTTCCAGGCTTCTTTATGTCTGTCATTTTATCTTTTAATCATCCTACATTTTTTTTTTTTTTCTGTGGTCAGCCTTTTTTCGGCCAAATATTCATCCTTTCTTCCTTCACTTCTTTATCCCCTGTACTGTTGACTTATAGATCTTGCTTTCATTTTGTTTAGTTTTTAACCAGCCTTCCGTTTCCCTCCTTTATTGAGCCCTTAATTACATGGGTAATTTTTTAAAAACTTTGACATACTTCAGGCCACTAGTTGTGTAGCAATCACACCAATCTGCTGTGTTAAAGTCTGTCTCCAGTCATTGACTAAACCCTTAGAAACATATCTCTGTGTATCAAAAATAAACATTTATTATTATTTTTTTTATTAAAATAATCCCCTCCAATCTTAAAAGGGCTCTAAACTGTGCTCTACACATCTCAAATGTACACAAACTCAAATGCTGTAAAACTACTCTACGCTACACATTGGGAAGTTGTGTTATTGTAATATTTACCCACACATGTTCAAACCAGAAACTGATTCTGAAGAAAAATAATGATGCCGGACCTGTGGGCCATGGACACAGGTAGGGCTGAACAATTTGGGGGACATATCTCTGCAATTTTTAGAGATTGCAATTTGATTTGTAGTATATTGTCTAAAAGTACATTTTTGGTTGAATATATTTGCTGTGTAATAAATTGAAAGCATGTGTAGAAGCTTTACCACAAGAGACACCATCATAGGCTTGACAATCCCACCAGCAGAAGCATGAATGGGTAAAACTTGACACAACAGTTTAAATACAGGGTCACACGTACTGCATCACTTATATTCTAAGCTGCATTTTTTTTGCAATTTGCTAATTTCATTGTTTAAAACTGCGATTTGAAATCAGTTAGTTGGTCAGCCTCAGTAGACATAGTAGTGGGCATTGTATTGTAAGTAAGTGAGAACACATGGGAGAAAATTCCTTCACCTTGGCTACTGGCTGTTGAGTGTTGACGAGCAGAGAACATTGTGTGAATTTAGCTAGTCAAGTGGCACCATGAGAAAGTCTCTGTGATGCTTAATGCCTACTGGCCTGAGCTCTTATTTTGAAGGCGAGTGGACGTGTGCTAAAAACAACATCATACTGGTCCAGTAGCTGATTTTCTGTGCCATTAGAGGGGCCCATGTCACATGACATAAGTCGTTAAGGAAAGCCTCTACATCAGAACACAGAATGAAGATTTCATTTCGTGTTATTGACTAATTGATTACTGATACATGAGGTTGCCAATTGGGTTAAAAAAAAGAACATTTGCACCCCTAAAAGCAGCAGCAGTATGACTTATATTAGAAGCAACTTGTTGCAACTCTAAGGTTTAGAGAAAGCAAACGGTTAAACTGATATCAATGAGATGACATTTCACAGGATTACGCACTGCACCAGTTTCCTTCGTCTTTAATCTGGAACCACTTTGAAAATCACAGACTCCACCACAGCTAGGCCTGGGTAATAAAACGATAGCGACAGACATTTCATC